CTTACACTTTCTGACTCGACGTTACTTTTTTGGTTTCGTGTTGTCCTGATTCATCTTTGGTCCTTAGAAGAAACCTTTAAAAGCCGAACTCTACTGTGCGTTGAGCAGTTTGACTCCACCACGGAGAGAGATAACATTTGCTCTCTGGGGCAACAGCGAGATCTAAAAGACTGCTGAAGCACATCCTGAGGCACATTTAACTGTCAGACAGAGATCTTAAAGACGTACTGCGAGTGAAGGAAAAAGTCTTCACCGACTTGTTCAAGTGAAAGAGGCCGGCATGTTAACTTTGACCTGGCTCTGATTTATTTCCCTCCGTTCTGCAGAAAGGCCGTCGGCTGTTCATCAGGTTTTTTGTCATTGTGTGGTGTTGTCCAGCAAACACACAAAGAATGTTGATAACTGTGTGAAGGCTTAACCTCCTTTCAGCTTATTTATGCAAGTTTCAACTTTTTATGATATTTCAGTTACTATTTAGCTGTTTGTATGCTAATGTTTTTAGCTTTTTCCTGCTAATTCCAAATTTTTGCACTCATTTCAACTTTTTTCCAGACTAATTCAGCAAAAATGTGCTCTCTCCACTTCCTTTTGGTAATTTAAGCGTCTTTCTGGTTTTTTTTTATCTACTTTTCAGCTGATTTTTGCTCATTTCAGCTTTTCTCAGATACTTTCAATTTTTTTGTGTTCAATTCAATTCAACTCAAAAATACTGTTATTAATCCCAGAGGGAATATAAGTGTTGTCGTAGCTCATCATCCTGGTTTCATTCAAGAGTTGTTAGATGCTGATAGCTGTGGGAAGGAAGGATCTCCTGCAGTGAATCTGAAGGATCTGGCCACAGATACCGATCCGTCCACCCAGATCCAGCTTGCTGTCAGATCCGGCGGGCCTCTTGGTCCTCCTGGGCAGCAGGACTGCCCGAATGCTGGACAGAATTCCTCCCTGAGCGATGATCACTCTTCCCAGCATTCTGCAGAGCTCCTCGTTGCCACAGACAGACAGCTGAAGGTGCCGGGGGAAGATCTTGGTCCTCCTGATGTCACGAGTTGAGTTTCCCACCAGCTTCAGAATCTCTGCAATCAGGCACTCGAGCACCGCCGTCAGGTTGACTGGAATTTGTCCACGGAGCCTCTTTTTCAACTCATTTGGGATTTGATGCTGTAGTTGAGTTATTTCAGCTTTTGAGATGTTCATTTCGGTTTCTTTCAGCCGAATTGTGCAAACGTGTTCTTTCAGCTTTCTTCTGCTAATTTAAGCTTGTTATATTTTTTCAGCTACTTTTTTAGTATTTTTACTAATTTCAGCTGTTTTCAGATAAATTCAAGTTTTTCGTGGTCATTTCTTCTAATTTCAGCCTAATTAACTTCTTTGTGCTAATTTCAGCTTGTTAAGCGCATTTCAGCTTTTTTCTGCTAGTTTCAGCTTTTTCAGTTGCTATTTGTGTTTTTATGCTAATTTCAGCTTTTCCAGACACATTATTTTGAAGTTCATTTCAGCTCTTTCCACTTCTTTCTGGTAGTTTTAGCTTCTTTCTGTCTTTTCAGCTACTTTTCAGCTGGGGTGTTTTTTTTTTTGTTGATAATTTCAGCTTTTTTAGCTGATTTCCTAATTGTTGTGCTCATTTCTGCTTATTTAAACTTAATTAAGCAAATTGTGTTCTTACTGCTTTCATCTGCTAATTTAGGCATGTTCTTCCATTTCAGCTACAATCCAGCATGTTTTTTTTAAATACATTTTTCAGCTGTTTTTCCAGCAATAAACATTTACACTGCAAAAATGTAGGAAATGCAATTTCTCTAGTTAAACCACTTTTTGTGTGCTGGGTGTGTGTGTCAGGTAAATGTTCGAATTAAATGTGTCGGGAGATTTGAGGCAACGTTTCACTCATTCCTAACAAGGAAAGACCTAAAATTGTGCTGTAAGTTTAAATAAAGAAACACATTATAGATTTTGTATTAATGTAGAGTTGCACCTTTTACCTGTGAGGCAGCAGTGCTAACCGCCACTCCACCGTGATGCAATCATGTTTTCTCAGCATCGGGCCACAGAGAGCTGAAGAAAGTTGCAGAGAAACTGATGTTTTTGAACGTCTTTGTTCTTTGGCAGCCGTGCTTGTTTGCCATCGGTGTTATTTAAAGTCCAGAGGTTTGTTCTTGGGTTCATTCTGTTTGCCTTTCAACTTGACCGAATCAGTTCACAGGAACACCGAACACCTTCGACTGGACATTATACCACTCGGGATGTTTGTCCGCTGCTTGTTTATCAATGTTTGTGCAAAAAGATTTAAAAAATTGTTCAAAAGAACACTAACAAACTTGTGTATACTGGGAAGCAGCTAAAGGAAAGATCATGTTTGAATACGTGTTCTAGGCCCACAGGAGAGCCGTCCCTGCCTAACAGAAGCAAATAAAGTTTTAATATTTATAAATGAGCTTTGTTTGGATGTTGTGGTCAGTGAGCAGGATGTTGTGACCCTCACGTGCACTGAGCTCAGCGGGGAGTGACGGTGTTTGAGTCACGGTGCTGCCGGACCTCCACCTTGTGGTTTGCAGCACACCTTGCAGCTATAAAGGGATTAAACAAACACTCTGGTCCACACCCTCTGACCGAGAGCCGAAACAAAAAGAGCTGGACAAGATCAGTGGCAAAGCATTTCTTTGGGAGGCAAACTCTTTTCTAATTAGCATTAAAAGTACACACAAGTATTCCGAACGTTCCTTTTTAAGATGTGACGAGGCCTAATTCTTTTTTTTTCATGTCATGTTCTGTGTAAACTGAATCTGACTCACTAAATGCAAAACTAAATCTGGTGAGAAATCTTAGGTCAATAGGAAAAACTCCTCTGTGAAGAGTTATGAGCTTTGGGGTCAAAGGGTCAAAGCTGAAAAGTGACATCACAGCTCAGGCATGCAGAGCAAAAACATGCGTCAGCAACTCACGAGTGTAACTTCTGAGTTTCTTCAGGTGAAGAACAAAATCTGCTTCTGAAGTCACCAGTCCGCACCAGGAGGAGCTCAGATTGATTTAAAAGAGGGTCTGTGTAAAAGTTATGAACAAATCTGTCCTAACTGGCATTTGTTTATTGACCAATCTCAGAACAGACCTGATAAGTTAACGGCTGCTCAGAGTGGGGACAGAGGTCCTTTATGTTCAGCTCGTCTACCACAAAGCATGAACGGCTGGCAAAGACTTTCAAGAGTTGGTTTTTGGTGCTGACGGTTCATATTTGCATGTATGATGCACGTATGTACAGGTGGGATTTGTAAACATGAAGCCAGTCAGGAAATATTAGCAAACATGGCTGTAAGTTCAACAACAAAACATCAAACATACGTTTTAATTATGCTGAAGGTCTAAAAAAAAAAAAAACAATATAAGAAGTACTCACCACTCTGCCGTGCTTTAAGATACTAGGTGTGATGGAAACTGGTTTTTTTTGTTTGTTTTGTTTGTTTGTTTTTTGACAAGAACACCAATATTTACAGCTTCCCTCAAATAGTGACCGTTCTCAATGACAGCAGAGCTTAAGGGAGTCAGTGGCGCCTCCGGACATTTTTTAATGGGGGCCACTGAAAAACTTCGGGTGGCTCCACAAAACCCAAAGCCAGAATAGAATTTCAGGTTTGTTTTGTTGTCAAATATATAATTTATGTGACAAATACAGTACAGAAGTTAGAGAATCACTTTCTAAAATATATATTAGGGGTTAAACAACTACATATTTTGAAAAGTCGACTTTAACATGATAAATCGATAAGTTGACGACTTCATAAGAACTCAAGACACTATATTATATTTGCAAAAAAATAAAAACCATCATAATTATTTACAAAAAAAAAGAACAACAACAAAACATTGGGCGTATAGTTATGCTCCAACCATTTATCGTACTGCAAATAAGTCAAAGGAAAAGCAAAACTATTATCAAGCTGCAAAAATGCTGCTGTTTTTAGCTTTATTTTATTTAATCCACCATATATATTTCCGGTCGTGGGGTCACTGGTGCCCATGTCCAGCTATCACTGTGTGAGAGGTGGGGACACCCTGGACAGGTCTCCAGTCCATCACAGAGACACCTGGACTGGTCACCAGTCCATCACAGGGACACCTGGACAGGTCTCCAGTCCATCACAGGGACACCTGGACTGGTCACCAGTCCATCACAGGGACACCTGGACTGGTCACCAGTCCATCACAGGGACACAGAGACAAATAACCATTCACTCTCTCACTCACACCTAGTTACCAGTCAGTTTAACATGCATGTTTTTGGTCAGTGGGAGGAAACTGGAGTACCCAGAGAAAACCCACGCCTGCACGGAGAGAACATGCAAACTCCAGGAAGTCTAAAAAAAAATGTTTTAATGAGTTTTAACTAATCTGGAATGGCTCGGGGAAATTTAAAAAATGCACACTATGGAAAAGCTTGGGATTCAAGAGGATAAAATATCTGCCTTCGACCCCCCACCGGGCCTCCCCTTAGTAGCGCCCCTGCTCAGATGGACCTCTGACTTTTCTGGGGCTGGTCACATTAACGTGTGCACAAACTTTTTTGTTTGTTTCAAACTGAGACCATTTTTAAAAGAGCCATTTACTGCAGGTAAGATACTGACTGTTCAAAATACGTGAACTTTTCTTTTGAAGTGTTTTATTGATTTTGGCGGCTTTAAAGATGGCGCGTGAAGTGTGGTTCCTCTTCAAGTGAAAGGTTTGAACTTCCAAGCCGCCTAAATAAAGAAGCTGCTCGGTTTTTGTCGAGCAGCCAACATGTCGCTTCACGTCCTGCTCCGCTGGCTCTGAGCCTCCTTTAATGACATGGTTCAACTCTGAGGAGAAGAAGGAGGAAAAAAAAAAAACGTGTCCACCCCCTGAAGATTTCCTGTCTCACGAAAAGCGCTCTGAGTCACAGCCGAGCTGCTTCTTCTTCTACGGTTCAGAGCCGCAGCAGGAGGACCGGACTCCCTGACTTTATTCACTTTAAAGCTAAATTAATGAGAAAGAGAAGCGACTTTTGTCCGGTTCGACATGGAGCTACTTCGGTTTTCCGTTTTTTGGTGTGGAACGATACTCTTTGGTATCTCGCTCGGAGCTGCGGGTGAGTTCAGCCTTTAATTTGTTAAACTGAAATCGGAGTTTAAAGAGCAACAAAATGACCGGAACTATACTGTTACAACTAAACCACGTGTTTATGAAAGCCTTAGTTATTAGTTAACTTCTTTACCGTTTCATCTATTCATTTTAGTGCAGCTTACAGGGGCGCGATCAAGAGGGGGCAATGGCCACCCCTAAAAAAACCACTGGCGGCCCCCCTAAGCTTTTGTTTACTGTGCATTTTTATTTTCTTGAAGCTATTCAAGTCAAATCAAGTAAAATGTATTTGTATAGCACATTTAAAACAGGAACTGTTACCAAAGTGTATATTTAAGATTAGTTGCAACTCATAAAACATAAAAAACATATTGTCTTGGAGCAAAAAAATCGTTAAAAATACAAATCTATGTTTTGTTTCAACTTAAAAATAAAACTCAATCTAGCCACCCCTAAATAAGAACAACTGGTCTTAAACCCATGTTCTCATCATTAAGCTGCAGGATCTCAGGAGGTTATATGCATACTTAAAATAAATAAATAAATAAACTTAGGAGGGGACAAGCTTCAATAAATTGAGTAGTGCTTTTCTCAATAATAGGATGTAAATAAAAATAAAAAGTAGCCCCATGTATATCTGAATGTGATTCTCTAACTCCTGTTTTTTGGGTGGTTTTTCTTTTGTAAAATAATATATTTGACAACAACATAACAAATCTGAAGTTCTGCTTTTCTGTTTTGTCAGTGACCCACACATACCCCCCTCCCCCCTAAAACAAAAAAAAAAAAGTAAAAATGGATTGGCCAAAGGAATACTTAAAGAAAGTAAAAAGTCCACATTGCAAAATAAAAAAAAAGAGGTTATCCCAAACTATATCAGTTAGTGAAGTTTGAAAGAGTTTTCTCTAGTTGATGACGCAATTCTGAAATGTCCTCACTCACCGTAAACAAAGCAATTGGTTGAATCCACTGAACACCAAGTGGGAACTCGAGTGTTGTGGTTGACATCCATTAACTGGCTGGAGTCTGTTTAGGTAAACCGCAGACTAGAAAAATAATAGACCTTGGAACAGAACCCAAGAAGTCGAAGCCAGAACGAGACCTTCTCAGTTGGCTGGTTCCCATAATCCCCACCCCCTTATGTAAATGTGTATA